AAAACTGTTTTTCTCATGTAAGATTTTCTTGACTATGTTCAAAACTTGGAAACAATTCTCAGGGATCAGCTTCACTCCAGCCACAAGTTTGGGATAAAGCTGGTTTCATGGGAGTTGTTCCCATTTTCAATCCGAAGAAACCAGCCTATATCTGAACAGCTTGGCCTATGCAAATAGAGGACTTTATATACTTTTATTCTAGCTATGCTTGCTTCAGGCACTGAACTAACCACTGTTGAATGCCACTTGCCACAAGTTGTGTTACCCTGAGCCCTTGCCCCTTTAAATCTGTTACCAATTTTGGCCTCCTTTTGGTGCAAGGAGACCCAGACAGTGAGACCTAAGTTCTTGCCACTAAATCCTGCAAGGCTGTTGTAAAGCTGTTTAACTGGAAACGGTTTTTAGAGTTTTGTCATAGGTATGCCAACCGTGATGGGGATACTTAGTCCGGGTTTCCCTGAGTCCCTTCCACCCTTCCTCATAAGGCTAGGGTGAAGATGGTCCCAGGGAGTGCTACTTGTGGGGAAGGGGGAATCCAGACAGTTTGGACTAATGTGAAAAGTTATGAACAATTGCACAGTCATCATCTTCCCCAGGCTACATTGTCTGGGACCAGGCAAAATTTTCCTAATCAAATTAATTTGAATGTACAAGTCTAATGATTTATAATCTGTAATAATGTTAAAATTTAAAATGACAAGAGTTTACTTTACTTTGCTAAACAATGTAAGTAGACTAATACATGTTGTAACGTATGTTATGTATGAGATGTTCATGTTAACGACTAATTTTATATTTTCTCATTGCAATATATATTACTTCTGTTTCAGTTTTTGGATAAAAAATAATTCTGCTTTGGATCCCTGTGCCAGGACAGCTTGGCCTAAAGATTGTGGAACTGATTGGCAGTTTTTGTACTGGACAAGTTGGGTGCCTGTATAACATGGCCTGTGCAAATAGGGGACTCCGTGAAAGGTAATCGGGATCCCTCCTCAGTGGTGGATGGAAAACCAGTGAGTGAAGGAAGAGGTAGTCAGCCTTCTTCCCCAGCGACAGATCACAACCGAGGGAGGGGAGATAGTTGGCCTCCCTCCCCTGCAGCAGATCACAACCAAGGGAAAAGAGGTAGTTGGCCTCCTTCCCCATCGGAAGATCAAAACCAAGGGAGTGAAAGTAGTTGGCCTCCCTACCCAGCGCCAGATGGAAACCCAGCCAGTGCAGGTATTTGTAGCAAGCCTCCATCACAAGCGGTAGATTACAACAGATTACAAGGGAGGGGAAGTAGTAGACTTTCCTGCCCAGTGTGAGATCTCAACCAAGGGATAGGAGGTATCAAGAAAGTGGAGTTAGTTGGTGTGACAAAACCCCTGTTATTTCATCTGCTGTTCATGTATTTAGCCCTATTTCGTTCCTTTCTTTAAAAAACAAACAAACTACCGAACAGCAAGACCACACGCAATGGGAGTGTGCAGATCATTAGTCACCCAGAAGCTGTGGTTAAATACAACTATTTGACGAATGGCTGGGTGGTCACCATTCGGTTGAACGAACACATGGCGGCGGCCATTTTAAATTGCCGAACTCCCGGTGTTTGGTCGTCGACCGCATGAAACTATTTCACACGAACACCGCTGGTTCTATCCAACTTCCATCTCTTTCGTCTCCATTTACATGAATGCTGTGTTATTCAGTACTTTTAGAACACATGAACTGAACCGACCCAGATAAATAAATCCATGGAGCTAATTCTGGATATATTTCTAACGAACAGTCAGTGAACAGAATCTTTAGCTCCATGGCGATTTGACTGTGTTCGTGGGATCTGAGCGCTGTTCGGCTATATTGAGTGATGAGCGCTGTTCGGCTATATTGAGTGCTCAGACCCAATCTATCTGGGGATATGTCAAATGTGGGGGTTCCGTTCGGTAAAAGCAAAGTTATATATTTTAATGTATTTTGTTACTTTTGTAAAATGGAAATATTTTCTCTACCTGGAGATAATTGAGTTTGCTCCGGCCACTTAACCCAATTATCTCCAGGATAGAGAGGAGGGATTTCACTGTTTATGTGAGTGTGTGTTATATTGTATTGTAAAATGACTGGTTATTGTAACTTGTGTCTCAGTCCTCCACAAGGTCCCTGTGGGAGTATCCCTTGCTGGAGGACCTGCATAAAAGGCTGAGCTGTGGCCGTCATTAAATAGATCATTTTACCCCTTCATGAAGTCTCGACTCATGTTTGGGGGATTGAGAGCTATAATCACTATTCTGCTCTACTTCAGCTGGGATTTCGGGAGAAGCTACAAGGATCTTCCTACAGGGATAATAGGATCCGTTACAGTTGGCCTCCCTCCAAAGCACTAGCTGGCAACTCTGAGAGTGGAGGCAGAGATAGTTGGCGTTTCTCCCCAGCGGCAGATCACAACCAAAGGAGGGGGGTAGTCGGCCTCCCTTGCCTTCAGCAGATCACAACCAAAGGAGTGGAGGTAGCTGGACAACATCCACAGCAGCAGAATACAATCAAAGCATCAGATGGAAACTCAGTGAGCAGGAGTAGAGGTAGCAGGCCTCCCTTCCCAGTGACAAAGTACAACTCAAGGTGTGGCTTACCTCCTCATCGGCCGATTTCAACCTTGCGATAGGTGGCAGAGTGCAATCCAGGGAGTAGAGTTAGTCGACCACCCTCCCCAGGGGCTGATTTCAACCCAGCGAGAGAAGGTAAAGGTAATCGGCTTCTATCCCCAGCGGCAGATCACAACCAAGGGAGAGGAGGAAGTCGGCCTCCTTCCACAGTGGCTGATTTTAACACAGCAAGAGGAAGTACAGGTAGTAGGCCTCCCTACCCAGTAGCCGATCATAAACATGGGAGCGGAGGTTTCCCTCTCCAGGGGCCGATTTCAGCCCAGCGAGAGGAGGTAGATTAGATGTAGATGTATCCAAAATTCCTTCATAGTGTCAGAAAGCCAACGTGCAAAGGTAGAGGTAGAAGGCCACTTTGTGGTAAAGTGCAACCCAGGGAGTAGAGGTATCGGCCACTCTCCCTAGCGGACAATTTCATCTCAGTGAGAGGAGGTAAAGGTAGTCTACCTCCCTCCCCATTGGCAGATTACAACCAAGGGAGAGGAGGTAGTCGGCCTCCCTCTGCAGTGGCAGCTCTCAATGCTGCAAGAAATCAACCCAAGTAGAGATACAGGCCTCCCCCCAGTGGCTGACTTCAACCAAGTTGAAGAGGTAGAGTAGAGGCAGTCATGTTCCCTCCCCAGTGGCTGATTTCAACTGAGCAACCTGTGAGAGGAGGTTGAGGTAGTCTGCCTCACTACACAGAGACCAATATTATTTCAGCGTGAGGAGGTAGGTTAGAAATAGAGGTATTCATCCTCCCTTCCCAGTGGCAGATGGTAACCCAACAAGTGGAGCTAGAGGTAGCAGTCCTCCCTCCCCAATGACAGCTTGCAACCTGTGAGAGGAGTTTGAGATAGTCTGCCTCACTACACAGGGACCAATATTATTTCAGCGTGAGGTTAGGTTAGAAACAGAGGTATTCTTCCTCCTTTCCCTGTGGCAGATGGTAACCCAACAAGTGGAGGTAAAGGTAGCAGGTCTCCCTCCTCAACTGCAAAGTGCAACCCAGGGAGTGGAGCTATTTTGCCTCCCTCCCCAGCGGCAGCTCACTAACAAGGTAGTCACCTCCCTACGTAGTGTCAGCTGGTAAACTTGCAAAAGGGAGTAGAGGTAGTCAGCCTCCCTCCCCAGTGGCAGGTACAATGAGCAGAGGTAGAAGTAGCAGGTCTCCCTCTCCAGTGGTAGATTGCAACCCAGGCAGTGGAGGTGGTTGGTCAACCTCCCCAGTGGCCAATTAGAAACATAGAAACATAGAATGTGATGGCAGATAAGAACAATTCGGCCCATCCAGTCTGCCCAATTTTCTAAATACTTTCATAAGTCCCTGGCCAGAGGAGGTAGTTGTAGTCGGGCTTGCTCCCCAGTGGCAGAGAGCAACCAAGGGAGAAGAGGTAATTGGCCTCCCTCCCAGCAGCAGATTGTACCACAGAGAGAAGGGGAGGTCTGTCTCCCTCCTCAGTGGCAGGAGTACCAGGGAGGGGATACCAGCATCCTCATTCCACAACAACAGTGTATGTTCCATGGAAGGGGCGCCAGCAACCTCACTCCCCAGAAGCAGGAGAAACTACCAAGGGAGAAGGCAATCGGCTTGCTCACTTGCTGAGCTGATCTAATTGGAATCTGGCCCAGCACTCTTCTGAATTTGCCATCTAATCATGCAATTTTCTTCTGAATATAAATATATTCTGAGCAATAAGGCACACGACAAGTGATTGTTGTGAATCCAGAAGAGTTGATTCTAGCTTTAATTGGGGGCAATTCGTTTTATACAGCGGGGGATACGTGCTTACGCGCAAAACAAATTTACTGTTTTTAAACCATCATAGGAACGGAATGTAAGAAGAGAAATATTTCTAAATGTCACAAGATAAGTAGTCTGCAAGAAGTACTTCAGTGGGGGCTAGTTTTTACAGGGAAGAAGAACTAATAGAGGACAAAGTTAATTTAAACATAAAGCATATCTTGATCCAAGTTAGCCAATTTTATTACAGACTGGATCGTAAATTACATCTGTAGCTTGAGCCTTGGAATCAAGGTACATTCTTTCACAATCCCCTCTTTTGATCCAGGGGTCACCCAATTGTCAAAGGTATTTCCAGGTGTGCTAGTCACACCTGTAGGACTTTAATTACATTTTCACCACAGTTCCCTTAGACTGGGCAACCTAAGAACCAGCTGAGGAGATTTTTCTTCATCAGTTAAGCATGTTTCCTGTCTGCATGTTTCCTGTCTGCTGTTAGATGCTTTGTACCATGATAAATACAGTGTCCCAGAAAGATAACAGTGGGAGCACATGCCTGCAGTTTGGCCTTGGAAGCTTTGCACCCTGCTTGTGCCAAAAAAATTAGTAAAGACAGGGTGTGCTGTGTACATGATTCTTGATCTGGGCAACATAAAAGCAAATCATCAACATATTGCAACAACACAACATCATCTGCCCTTGGCCCAGCTTCTAGAATTTGGGCCATTGCCGTGCTATACATGGTAGGTGAATTCTGAGCACCTTAAGGCAGCACCGTCCATGTGTATTGTTTGTGCTTGTGTATGAAGGCAAAAAGGTATTGGCTGTCTGGGTGCAATGGTACAGAAAATAATGCATTTGCCAGGTCAATGACAGTAAACACCTTAGAAGAAGGTAGACTTTGTGACAGCAATGTATGAGGGTTGGGAACATTGGGAGCAATCAATTTAGTTACAGCATTAATCGACCTTAAGTCATGCAACATATGATAAACCACAGGCTTGCCTTTTTCCTGTTTCTTTTTAACAGGGTACAGGGGTGTATTACAAGTGGCGTTAGTGTCTGCAATTACACTTGCCTGTAATAAATCTTGAATAGACTGTGAAATGGCATCTTCCTGTGCTGGGCTAAGGGGATACTGTTTCTGACAGGGAGGGGTGGCTCCTAGCAGGAGATTCACTTTTACTGGGAGCACAGTGAGGCTGCCTGTATTTGTCTTCCCTGTAGCCCATAGAGAATCAGGAACTGAGGTCAAGTCAATGGTGGGTTCTGTCACAGGGCTGGGCAAAGTGAGGGTCGCTAGTACATTGGCAAGGGGTATCAGGCAATTGTCCTCTAGGGGCAGGGACAAGGATACCTCTCCAGACGGACTAAGCTGAATGTTGGCATTAATAGCAGACAAAACATCACTGCCTAGCAAATTAACAGGAGCATTAGGACTGACAAGCAATCTGGTAATGAGAGAAGTAGAATCATGGAGCTTAAACTTCATCTGGTGGGTTAGAGGGATTTCTGCAGGGGTCCAATCTACATCCACACATGATAACACATCATCAGATTTCTCATAGGGAAAGATATATTTCTCCTGCACAACAGAACGGACTGCCCCAGTGTCTAACAGAAAATAGACTATTCTATCACCTGGTAATGTAACATTAACAGAGGGAGAGGGTCCAGCTATGTTGGGAATAGTTAACGCGTGCAGGGTCACTGGGTTGTCAATTTCCTATGTGGAAGCAGCAGGACCTTGTGAAGGAGGGGGAGGTGAAAGGGGGGCTTCTGCATTGTGACTGTCAGGTCTGAAGCGAGGAGGACATTTACAGTTTCTTTTGATGCGTCCCTTATTTCCACAATTCCAACATGCTACTTGCTGGTGGCTATTGGCCTGTCTAGTGGCAGTCACAGCCGTTAGGGTTGTTGGTTTCTTGCATGTGTTAATATTAGCCTGTACCCCCATGGCTACTTTAACTAAATCAGAGTAATATAGCCCTCTCCACTCAGGGCACACTGCCCGTAATGCAGTGCACAAGGTGGTGGGGGGTGTAAAACATCCATAAAACAATTAACCAAATGTCTGATAGGGGGTCCGCTTCTGAGTACCCCAGCGATTTCCAATATATTTGAAGGCGGGCAAAGAATTTTTCCACTGATTCCTCTTTGCCCTGTGCAATATCAGTGAGCTTGTGGGCTACTTCCTCAAGTTTAACCTTAGTCCAGACCTTTAGGGCTGTTACATATGCTTTACCTGAGGCGGACTTAGTCCTGAACCATGATTCTGGCTTGTAAACTTCACCCACTTTAAGGTCTGCCTCATGGGTGTCAGTGTACACACACACACACACACACAGAGACCCACATAACCACAGAAACACACACACACACACACACACACACACACTATCACAGACCCACACATACAATCACAGGCCTACACACACAATCACATACATAAACACACATAATCACAACACACAGACTTAACCAAAGAGATACACACACAATCACACACATAATTACAGACAGACATACACAAACACAATAACAGACCCACACACATACAATCACATACACACATAAGACACACAATCCTAAACCTGGCCATCCCTGGTGACACCCCACTATCTGGTGGCACCAGGGGCAGACCTCCCCCCCTTTAGTACGCCACTGCACTTCCTTTATTTTCTTATCTTCTGCACTTTTAATGGCTTGCTAGACCTTGCAGGAGCCTCCTGTGTTTGATTAAAGTTACATTTACAGATCAGTAGATACAGAAAGTATAGAGTAAGTTCAACATCTGATTGAAAATGAAACCATTTTTTTTAAATTGTAGACTGTGTCACTCACATCCAGGGTAGGTGTGGCTAGATCTGCATGGACAGAAACTAAAGTGATTTAACGCCTAAATGGCAGTGTATTGAGCAGTGAAACTTCAGGGGCATGATCTATACAACAAAACTGCTTCATTAAGCTAAAGTTGTTTTGGTGACTATAGTGTCCCTTTAATGGCTAGGGGATATGGATTTCATAATGGATGCAAATTCTAGAGGGGAAATGGAATGGTAGTGTAATAGGGATAAATTAATGAACGTTAGAGGACATGGAGCAAGGCAGGAAATTGGAGAATGTTGTAGTTGAAATAATAAGGGTAAGCGAAGCATGGCATTAAACAGCATCATATGGGTCTTGGCATTAAAGAAAATGGAGCCATAAATGGAGACAGTTGGAAGATCCCATAAAAATGGTATGAAATCGCAGGATGTGGCTCTTGTTATGAATGAACAGGGCATGGAGATGTAGATAATTGACATGACATTTTTGATGTGATGAAGATGTGTATCGTGTGGCATTATGCATTACGAAAGCAGTGCATTAAAATATGACTAAACTGCACTGCAAAATAAATTACAATAAAATAAAAAATACTCAAAATACATCAGCTGCAATAATGAAGTATCTTGACAAATGCAACCAATCGGCACTCTCCCATGCAAAAGAATGGGCACTGAACATGACATTACAATCAAACATACAAAGGGTGAGTTCATTTTGTCAAAATCCAGCCCTATACAACAAAGAAATTGTAGAGTACTTCTCGCAGTATATAAAACAAACAAACAAACAAAAAAATATTGGTATGCAAATATCAATCAATTTATTTCAGCTTTATTCACAAGAATTTCAATTGACAATTTACAACAATTAAAGTGTTTTTAAAGAATAAACATAGGCTTTGTAAAAAAATACATTTTCAGGAGATTTTCATTAGTAACATGCGTCCAGGTGTTACGGGGGCATTGCTGCTTAGGTGTGCGATTTATATTTGTCCTCTCTTGTTTGGGTAATGTGCCCCCAAGCAAATGTTTGTGATTTGTATATATCCTGACACAAACATCTCTTGGGACAAAGAGCAAATGTGCCCAGATTTACAACTGGCTGTCCAGAAGGATACACCTTATGTTGTTTAATTCTTCCTCTGTATGTTCTAATCTTAGCACAATAAATAATTTGGTTATCATCAGAAAAATACCACATTAATGTTTACTTGTCCATATGGCTACAAGTATGGCAAATGTGTGCGAGCAAAACATCTAAAATGGTAAACAAAGTAGTAATAACAGCATCAAAATGTCCGCAATGGGATGTAATTAACCAAATATTTCGCCATTCTGTTATAAAAATGAAATAGAATTAGACAAATGCATTTATATGACTAATAGGCATAAGGGGTTCATTCTGTGAAGAGTAAATTGTGGTGATCTGAAAACTGAATTGCAAACTTTGGGCCATGTAATGACAATAGCTAGTTTGGAATTTTTCTTCTTAACTAATTATTGTGACATAAATTTAACAGTTCAATTTCAAATTCACCACTATTAACTGTTTGGTGAATAAACCCCTAGCAGTAGCCATATTAATAACTATTGTTATATTGCATTGATAAGTTACTTTGCCCTGTACAAAATGTTATTAGACGTGGCATGCCGTTAATCCAAATAACTGAATAAAGCTAAACTCCAAAAAACATGACTAAAAGAACACTACAGAGGGAAGTTGATGGGTTAAAGGGATCTATGACTCTACTGTGTTCGGGAATAGACTTTTACATCAAGCTCAAGTCGTGCAAGACTCAGATATTGCTCTAATTTGAGCTAGGAGTGATGTTGTATTTCAGACTGTAACAAAGTAGATTGGTTCTTTGGAATATTGACTGATAAAACATGTTTTACTAATGTGATAATTCAAAGTGAATTTCAAATTTAAGGCCAGATTAGTCAATCTGAAAGTATAGCTGATTTAGAGAATCTTTCAGTTCAGGTATTTTGACCTCAAATTTGAAATTTACTTTGAATTCTCACTTTAAACAATAATCTAATCTAATCTAATCTAATAAAAAAGTGAATAATCTAACATGAGTATTAAATACGAAATATCTCAACAAAATTTGACCATTTGGCAGCATGTGTTGTTTTAGTGTGTGCCTCGATATGTATATATTTGACTGCATGTGTAATATGTGTGCATGTGTGACTGCATATGCCATGTTCAAGCTTGTGACCACAATATAAAAATGTGGGTTTATGTGACTTTACTAAAGAAACATTATAGTGTTGGACTACCTTATTTAGCTTCTCAGCCCCCAAGATTGCAGCTAAAAGGTATTTTACTTACCTTTTCACCATTGTCACGCTGGTCTCACTGTGGCTTGTCCTGCTTTCATAGTGGGATAAGCCATGAATCGCTTTCATGAGTCTTGAAGGTCTAGGTCAATCCAATACTTTCCCATTGGAGGCTATTGAGCATGTGCGGCAAGATGCCACACTGTGCCAATCAGTATCTCCTCATAGAGATGTGTTGAACCAATACATCTTTAAAGGGCACATTCAGCAGCTCCATGCAGGTAGTGTAGATGCTGAACTAAAATAGAAAACACTTCTAGTGGCTATCTGAGTGACTGCCATTATTGGTGTTCCTAGACAGAAATGTAAACACTGCCTTTCCTCCAAAAAGGTAGCTTTTAAATTGCTGAGTCTGCAGGGACATGCTATAGACACCAGAACCACTACACTAAACTGTAGTGGTTTTGTTGACTATAGTGTCCCTTTAGGTATGTATGGCTTTCTGTGGCTGCATGTATTTGAGTGATGTATATACATGGTTTTACAGTGACTACCCTTTATCTAAAATATTCTAGAATTACCTCAAAACAAGTTTTTGTTGGGTAGATACTGTATCTACTGCAGACCTAGTTCATTTGAATGTCTTAATTTTGTTAGGAGCACAAGAACACCTGGAAATGCAGATGTTCAAATAGGTTTTGTGGGTGCTAGGAGGATTTACATCTCTTGCTACCAAGAAAACAATTAAATCAGATGTCTGTATGAATAGGTTACTGGCAGGATAAATTAGAGAGGTAGGAGTAA